TTACAAAAATGTTGAGAAATTCAGTGATGGATTGAGGATTCTAGTAAGAGGACGTCAATTTCTAAATGACGCTCTTCGAGGTAGTTATTTAGAAATGCACAATTCAACAGGTTTTATCAAGAGAGAAAGAGTTGACCTTTTCTTCTATTTTTTCATTAATTTTAAATAAAAAAATTTATTTTTAGGAAAAAAGATCTGATTTTAGGTCTTTCCCGCTTAGATTTTATGGGAAAGACCATGAGAAGTAAGACCTAACAAAACTTGAAGACGATTAGATTTAGGTATTTCATCAGCAACAAAATTAACTTTAGGCTTACATGTCGATTAGAGTTGTGCATTCAGCTGCACAATCCGACTCCGACAAAAATTTAATTCCACAGGGTTCTAATGTCAATAAATATACATCATAGTTCCTCTATTACAACTTGTTTTTGATGTTATTTTATGTTTTAATTTTGAATGAGAAAAAACCTATTTGACTTGTTAGAATATTATTTAAAAATTTAAATCCAATTGAATGACGAAGAGTGCTGAATTTTATTAAAACCAATGGTAATGATTTATTACATACTCTTCTTTATATTTCTCCTTTTTTCCGAACAAAATTGTCATAAACTCAAAATTCCCAGTATCCTTCCTTCAGGAGGATATGCGTACCGCAAAGGCCAAAAATGATCAGAAGTTTTCTCTGCAAAACTCTATATTTCATTTTTTCGAGTTATAATTTTTTTTAGTGACAACGAGAATCTAATTTGGTTGTACGTTTTGTTTTTCTTTCAAAAATATCGTTCCTAGAGCTTAGAAGAGGCGAAATACTGGAAGTATTGTTAAAAAGCATTTTTTCGATAATACTTATTTTTTAAAGACTGCTGAATTTCGTAAGAACAGCATTTTGAAGTCAAAAAGAAATAAGCATCCCATTTAAACCAAAGCATTCATCAAAAAAAATTGCGTCAGGTTGGACACACCGCGTACGAGACCAGAGAGAAAATTGTTTTTTTTTGTTTTGTGTTCAAAAATTGATTTTGAGAAAAACGCAAAATAAACTTCTCTGTATGCATTAGGACTATTTTCCTTCAAATAACGTGACCGAAAAGTGGCAATGTTAGAGGTGTCTAAGATCCACATTCTTACTACACATTTAGAAATTATCATTAGGAGAATTTCGCATACAAGGAATAATCGCAGCACGAATTTTTCTGCTTGCGATTTCAAGAGTTGAATTTAATAAAAGTACTAACTATAACAAACGAAGACTTATGATATTTAATAGAAAACACTTCAAAGCTAAACTAGAAAAACGAAAAAATTTGATTTTAGCATTCGTCAACATGAGAGAAGGAAATCTCTTAATCTAAGAAAGATCTGAATGGAACATCAACGAAAGTAATCTTAACAATACAATAATTCATATTTTATTAGAATACTTTAGAGTTTCTCTCACAAGACTTACGAGGGAACCACCCGAGGTGTCAAAAAGCTTTTCAGTCGGGGATATGATGGTTAGATAGGGCATAGCTAGGAGTGATATACCCTAAGTTAGTTCGTGCCCAAGTTGCTTCTAGCNAGTAATGTTGATATACGTTGTTCTAATGCAAGTTTATAATGTTCTGCATTTCAAGCAACATACATACATTCTGAGTAATGTTATTTTGAAATGATAAATTGATAAACTTCAAAAAACAGTCATCTATTCATTTTGCTTAATAAAAAAGGAATCGAAATCAAAGTATAGTTCTGATACTTAGTATACAATTTAGTGGACTTTCTGCGACATAAAGGTAAAATCCAAATGATTATTTCAAAATGTGTTACATCATTTAAAACGCAATTCGTTTCAATCAGGATCAATACATATTATAATTTATTAAAGTTTATTATTATTGTTAGTTCTTTTTTTTCTTAATTGTGAATCTTCAGACTATGAAATTATAATAATAAGAAATCAAATGTACTACTGCATGAATTTAAATCTTAATTGAAAAGTATCTATGTTGAAGTATTTGCATCCATCGCACGATTGTATACGAATATTGCTGGTTATAATATTTTTGATAAGATTCAATATTTCACTGTGAGATTAAAAACGAGATAAAATTTTCTAGTTAAATAATAATCAAAACGGAATGAATCTATTGTATCAAGACTTTTTTAAAAGAGCAAATCGTCAAAATAATATTCTGAAAATACCAAGAGAGAAGATAATAACTTATTATTAATCATTTTGCGAAGCACGATCTAAAAGGAGTGTCGTCAAATATAGGGATAAAAAGTTTGGAACTTCTCTCCACGGACGTTATCGATATATGATCAAACACCGTATATTAATAACGTGTGATTCTAATATATGAAGTGCTTCCATTTTGCATTTGTGGACAATTAATCAACAGAATAGTGAAGAAATGTGTCTAGAATAAAATAATCGCCTTGGGATGAGCAATAGCAGCTCAATCGTGTTTCACATTTAAGTCTCTCAGACATTGTACCAGCAGCTGTTTTTTTTTTCAATATGCTCTATTTATTTTCTTTTTCATTTTAGACATATAGATTTCACATTTGACTACTATAAAATATAGGAATAACTATTCGATATACATTTCGTCGGAGAAGATATTTTATCTGAAGAGCGTTATCAATGCACAACATCTGATAAGATATTTAACAATATCATAGAATTTTGTACTACCATAAATGAAGACAATTAATGTTATGTAAGTATTGAACAAATAATTTAAACGAAATATTTTTTTTTAATGGTTTCTGTTAATAAAGTATTGTTTATTAGTTTTTTCAATCGGTGTTTACCTAGTTGAACATTAGAGATGTGTATGGTTACTGAACTCTGCAAGATAGGCTTAAGGGTTAGATAGTTTCTCTCAATCATATTATTGGGTACGAAAAAAGCTTACTCTGCGTATTCTCTATCGAATACATAAAGAGAAGTTCGAAAAATTATAGACAAAGTATTTGACTATCTTTTGCATATATAAATGCATTGGTAGTGTATTGGAACCAGAATTTTGTGTTCTTTCAAATTATATGCTTAGAATTTTCTGTAACTTCAGACTGTCAAACTACAAGCGAATCTTAATAGGACTCTAAAAAATTGTCTGGAGAGGCAAATGTCGTATTTTCTTTTTAAGACAAGTCTTTAGACATAAAATAAGTTCTGTAAATATGCAAAGCTGGAGGTCGATTTCTACTCTACAAAATGATTCAGGAATAGAGTTTCAGTTAATCCGGTTGAAAATAGAAGAGGTGTAACGTAGTGTTATTTTGCTGTGAAAAGACGAAAATAGTCATTTTTTCTTGCAATTGACTTTGTAAAAGCCTTTACTGCACCTTAACAGTTTGAAAAAATTTTATCGCTTTAGTTTTTTCCTCCAAAAAAAGTTGTTTTAGTCTTTTTAAGATTCACATATAGTTCAACAGTCACAGAACACTTCTGAGTACAAATTTCTAATTCTAATATTCTAGTTAATCTATTTAAATACGTGAAAAATAGTCGAATATGTGCCTAAAAACCTTCGACTTACGTCTTATATCATCTAATTCAAGTTATTATTGTTGTTTTGAAAATATTTGTAATGAAGGAAAACATTCATTTCAAAATGTGTACCTATAGTTGTATTTTAACTTGATCGTGTTATAATTTAGTATTTGATAATATACCATGTTTATACCTAATGTAATCCTTTTACATACATGATGCAGAAATTCATAAGACGAATATCCTATCCTTGATATAAAAAGAAGTGTTTCTTTTTTTTGTTGTAATGATTGATTGAAATAAAATCAATAATATATCCTAAAAAAATATTATAATGCAAGAAATATTTTTATCTATGGTTTTTCATCGGTTTAATTATTTCTTTTATTTTGATTCATTTTAAATTTGACAGACAGTGTACTCAAGTGGTTACGAGGTCTGCCTGCTAAACGAATCATTGCAGTGAGCAGATTCCCTCTGGGAGCGAAGGTTCGAATCCTTCCACTGTCGTTTTTTTTTGTTGAACTAAAAAATTGTTCTATTCTTTTTGTTTATTTTTCCAAACAAAAATTCAACTCTCATTATTTAAATTTGTAAATTCTAACAAGTAAAAACACGCAAAATGAATAGATGACTGTTTTTTGAAGTCTATCAATTTATCATTTCAAAATAACATTACTCAGAATGTATGTATGTTGCTTGAAATGCAGAACATTATAAACTTGCATTAGAACAACGTATATCAACATTACTATAATGTTATTCAATATTCCATACTTAGTTGTATTAATGAACTCTAATTTACGAGCAAATCTCTTCAACTGTCTCATTCCAATTTCAATGATTTTTCGTCTGACGATACTACGAAGTGTTTTAATAAAAATCCTAAAAGATTTAGGTTCCTATTGATATTTAATTAAGCTATAGAACTTGTAATATGTCTATTTTCTAGAGGCTCCAGGTTTCGCAAAAATTTGTATTTTTGAATTTTTATCTGAAACTTTTTGCTTATAAAGATCTCAACATCTAGTTTTTTTTCAAGTTTCATATTTTGAAAAGACTTTGCTCAAAACTTTTGAACTTTTTTAAAGAAAGCTAGCCTAACTGAGTTCTTTATGTGCACAACGTTTCAGATCAGAACTCGATAATACGAGTTCTCCAAAAACCAGGTGCCTTCAGAAATTACACATGTTGAAAGTTTGATAACTTTGCCAAATCTCAATAGGGACCTCAATCCTTGTAGAGTTTTCATTAGAACACATCGTAGTATTTGTAAACAGAAAATTCTTGAAATGTAAACGAAGCATCTGAAGACGTTCTCTCGTTAGTCTACATGTGAACTAATAAGGTTTTATAAATATTCTAATCTAAATTTTATGATAAATTGATTGATTATCATACATTTTTGAATTTAATCGAAGAAATATTAGTTACAACATGTTTTCAAATTTTTTCTGGTTTATTTAATAAAAAAAAACAAAGAGAACTAAGACAAAAAACGAATCATATTCTAATAACATCTACATGTTTGACCTCTAGGGCACCAAGTGCTTGTATCATAGTTTCCATTGGAGACACAATGACCACCATTTTTGCCCAAACGTTTACGACAAAAATCATTACAATTACTCACACCATTTATTGTTTGCCAAACTCCACGACTTATTCGATCGTCACAACCCCAGCCTGTCTTTCCTTTTAACCATTTGCAAGCTTGCCCAAGACCGTATTGAGCTTCTACCATATGTGACTTATTACTAAGTAGAAGAAGGAACATAAATGCAAAGCCAAGATAAAATATTTTTGTAGACATTGTAAAATTACAAACAATGTGGAATGAATAAATGTTAAAAAGTGAATGAATAGTCGATATTTATAAGATATCTTCTAAGCATATATGGGAACTTTTTTCAATATTGGATTCATTTTTTATTTGACTCATAGTCATGAGTCAAATGATGAGATAAGATAACCATTGTTAATTTGATCAAAATGTAAACATCAAACCAGATGAGTGTGAATTTCCTCACTGAGAGATCATATTTCAACGTCATTTCTCTAATTGCTTTTTTCTTATTCACATTTACCATGTTTTGTCCTTTCTTTTTCTCTCTAAAACATATTATTTTCACTCCATATACATACATGTAAGTGAATTACAACATCATTTATAGTACCATTTTCAGAAAAAAATTTTTTGATTTCAAAAATTTAAATACTCAAGTAAGTAAAGAATAAGTGATGATGCAGGACAAGATTCGACTAAATGTCCATACCACCCTTCAGGTGTAGCCTAAAACGTCTTGCACATCTATCAGCACCGGTCACCTTTTCAAAGAATATCCTTCACCTACGTTTGAACTAGTCCAAAATGTACTTAACATTTGTTTGACCTTCTGATGGCAAACAACGATTTAACGACAGACAGATGTCATTTTAAATAGTCTAAATAGCAGATTAGGGTTTGTTCATTGGATATATAATTGAAAGTAGTCGAAGAAAAGCGAGTTGACTAGTCTGGTTCCTTTCTTTATAAATTCATCACTGCACTATAGCATCGAAAACACACATTTCGTGACAAAAATACATCGTGAAAGGCATATAAATGTATATAATAAAAGAAAGTTTGTCATAATTTATGTTCAATCGTTGCATGCTTCATAGCAACGAACATCTATAAATAAAATATAAATCAATAAAAATGAACGATGTAGAAATTCAACAAATTTAGTTAATACTACTCGATCGCATAAATGCGAAAACTGGAATGCACAAAATACTGCAATTAATCATTATAAATCAATCAGTTATCTTATGTTGCGTATACTCCTAAAACTTGATTTCAAGAACAAATTTTAATCAATGCATGACTCTCGTGCAATCAATATGATCGAGTAAACAAAAAACTGAAATGTACACCATGAGAATCGCTTACATTGTATTATTAATAAAATGAAAGTAAATATATAAAAATACTTATCCATCATGGTGAGAAAATTAAAAATTTAAGTGTACTTTATTTTCTACGATATTTATACATGATTAGATAGAGGTCGTCGAGCCGAACAAGACTATTTGGGTTTTATACTTCGAGAAAACACTTTTAAGGGAGAAAATTCTGAAAAAGACTAAATATAAAAACAACGTTTCAAGAACTTGAGTAGTTTTCGAGGAGGTCTGTCGAGCAGCTTTTCATTAAGAACCACAGTTTTCAGAGGAAATGGTTTTTGTCGAGATTCCAATAATTTGTCCAATAGATTCGTTACATCTTTTCTGTCTATATAACATACATAAAAACTAGATCTCAATCAAAACTTCTCCTTTTATTCAAACATAATGTCCCCGTGAATGTATCAGGTCAAAGAAATCGATGTTCCAACAACAGCAAAAAATTGAAAAAAAAGGATATATAAATTTGTTCATGTTTTTGTAGCGAGTACAACGATCTAAAAATACTGGCTTTATCACTTACCTGTAAAAAGTTTATAGATTTAATAGGTATGAAAGCGGAATTTTTACTATCAACAAAAAGTCAAAGATTTTCCATTCTCACAAAATATTTAAATGGTATAAAAACTGTGTTTTTAGATTCAGTTTTTCATGTAGACTAAAAGATGAAGTATTATTAAAATTATCAAAGATTCCCAGCATAGAGATTTTCAAAATTTAGACGGACTTTTGAGAAATTTTATAGATAATATTTCTTTGAGAGTATTCGTCCATAAAAATGTTTGTCAATGCAGAAAGTCTGCATGCTCTTGTTCAACTCGACGAGCTCTGTCTAACCATGTATAAATATCGTAGACGAAGAAAATTGTGATTAAATTTTGAATTTCCCACATCTTACTGTTTTGTTTGTTATGTTTCATATATCATTGTTCTATGAACTGTTGTGCAAGGGAATTTTATCATATTATTTATAAAGTTTTATTCTTTTATAGAAAAAATTGCGCTTCGAAAAAGTCGTTTATTTTCTCAATTCCTTAGCTTATTCTAAACTCAACTGAATTCGGTTGCTTTCTCAAGAAGTTTATTAGTTGAAAAAAAAGAAAATAAATATATGTCACTATACAAGTCTTCTTGATTAATTGCTGGCTTAATTATCTTTTTATTTTCGTCGACGATTATCCATAATTGCAAGAATTCTGATGAATAAATTAATAAAATCAAGATATATTCCAAGAGCATCATTAATTGGTGATAATTGTCTTGTACTGTGAGCATTTTCTGCATGTGCAATAATCTTTTTAGTATCCCATAATACCAAACCAGAAAAAACAGCAAGTCCACCATAAAGTGAAACATTTTCAAGTAGAGATACAGTACGAATAGCTGTAGCTGGTAAAGCAACAGATCCAATCGAAGCAAGACATACAGCAACAAGACCAGCCACTAGAATACAAAATGAATATATTTAATAAAAATACAATTTCTTACAACTTACTCAATGGAGCTCCTAACCATAAATATTGTTCACGTCGTGCTGTCATACCAACAGCACTAATCGAACCAACAATGCCAGTTGTCATAAGAGCAGCACGAGCAATTAAAGCTGGTTGCATAAAATAAATCGGTGCTAATGACAAACCCATAGCACCATTAAATATTGCCCATGTGGCATATTTAAGTCCTGGATTTTGTCGATCATCAATAGCTTGTGTTGCAAATAAAGCACCAATTGTACCAAGAAGAGATACACCTAAATATGCCCATTTATTCACTATGAATAAAGAAAAATAAACGATTTATTTGTTTGTTGTTTTGTTTATGTTTTTCTATATTTTCAAAAACAAAATACAAAATTCTTACTCATCATTATTCGTGTTGACCATCCAGTTCGATGAAAAATATAGGCAAAAGTTCCTGTCATTGCAAGACCACCAGCAAAATGAGCATAAGTGGAACGTAAATGTTCTTTAACAACAGGAGAAAAAGCTCGATTAGCTTCAACTGCATCAGCAAATGACATTTGTTTCGGTTGTGATATAGTGCCTGGTGCAGCAATAGTTGGACTATTAAGAACCTATATAAATAAATAAGAAGACAATAGATAAATTTCTTAAATTTTCCTTTTTTTTACTTTATTGAGTAAATATCCAGCACCACCAACGGCAACAAGAGCTATTCCACCTCGAATAAGTGCTTGCTGTTGTCGATTTGCTGCTCGTTGATTAACAGCAATTGATTGCGTTCGCTTCAATAATTGAAGCGATGCTGATGAGCTTAAACGCATTGTTGGTAAACGAGCAAGTAAAGGTAACATTTTCGTTTGTTAAATCTATTAAGAAAATTATCGAATAAATCTATTTGAAATTTATCTATATGTATTCGTATAGAGGAAAATATATATCAATGAGGAATGATTAATGTTCTAGAATATAAAATAGATGATGAAATAAGACTAATTATTGATTGTAGCGACCCTAGATTTTTTTCGTCTTTTATTTGTTTGTATAAATAACCAATAATAAGTTCTTGCGATATATACTAGTTACGTAGGTCGCTAATAGCCGTTTACATTGATAAATCGAATATGACTGTATTGCTACTTTCAATGGTTTATTAATATGCATTACTTAGACAGATTTTATTTTTAATCAGGCGCTTTTATTTGAAAAAAAAACATTGATTAAGACAACAGTACATACTTGTCAGTTTTTAAATAGACAGAGTATCTGTTTTCATTAATTCATATTATAATTTATACATGAATGACTTCTTCTGTGTCGATATCAGAAAGCAATGTTCGAAAGTATTTTTATGAATAGATAAATCAAAATATTAATTTTTTTGTGTATCAAATTCCGCGAAAAGACATTTATTTTTCTATGACAGCAAATATGTTCGCTAAAAAGTCTTTCGTTGTTTTTCGATTGGAGCATAATTCGATAAAATTTAACAACATAATATATTCATACTTTAAATAATTATTGCTAATGAAAGAACATATTCAACGGTCCGATGATGCTCGATATCACATTATGATTACGCGTAGATATTAGTGAGACTAAGAAAAGCTTAAAAAGAATTAGACCTATGGCTTATTATTGAAAAGCTATTATCATTTTAATGAAAGTTTTACTGCGATCAAGACATTTTCCAAAAAATCTAAAATAAAGAGTTTCCAGCTGAAATTATGATGTTAGGTACATTTAATCTTCTTAAGATAGTACTAGAAATTTCAACGAAGATGAACATGTCTTTCTCGAATTATTTAATATTAAAAAACACGGTGGTTTACCATAGGAGAACACTAACTGAGTTCACTTGAAAATTGAATATCTCGAGAATGATACGTTTGTGTTTGTTGAAACTCACAAGGCTATCTTACAACTATCGAACGTACTTATAAGCCTAATATCAACCCGAAAATCGGTGTTTCTGATTTACGAAAATGCCTTAGCCTCAGTAAAAGTTTCATTGAAACGGTCATAACTCTTCAATAATAGGCCATGAGTCTGAATCTTTTAAAGTTTTCTTAGTCTCATCAAGACATAGTTGTAGCCTTAATGCGAAGTCGGACGGCATCCGTCAGTTGCATATGTACCCTCGTAAGATAAACTGAAGTTCAATTGAATATGTCGACGATCTCTATAACTCTTCTTAGATATAAATATACTGTAATCCAAGGTAAACATCATTTAAAATAACTATATGAATTCATTTCTCTATTTTCGGGTTAAGAGATACAGGTCATTTTCCGGCCGAAGCATTCAGGGGGATAGTATAGGGACTTGAAAACAGTATGTCGATAGATGTCGTTAGTGAAAAATACTGTGTGGGAAGAAGAGAAAACCATTTGCAAGTCAATCATTAAAATCAACTGTTGATTTTCGTTATACAAAAACAAAAAGAAAGATAATCAACAATAATAATATTCTATTCTCCGTAGAGTCATATTGCCTCATGTTTACTGGATACAAAATATATGCAATACAATATGTACTTCTGTTCTTTCAAAGTTATTCAGTGTACAAATATGCTTGTAACTTTAGTTCGTCAACCTGAAGTACGATCGTTGCTAACTTTCATTTTTTCAATTCTTATTTTAATTCTTTCGGCTTTTTCTATCTTTCTACCATCATTCATTTGGACATGGATATCAGCAAGTTACATATATCTTTTATTATATTTTACGGCTGTATTTCTTCTTATGCGATGGTGGGCTCGAGGTGGTCAGTATTCAGATATTAACAGTGTTGATCTAGAAGGGCAAACATTTTTAATTACTGGTGCTGGTGGTGGAATTGGTAAAGAAACGGCAATGGAATTGGCAAAACGAGGTGCACGAGTGATTCTTTTTGCACGTCGAGGAAATTTGACTGAAGCTGTTAATGATGTGAAAAAAGCAGTACGATCACCAGCTAATATTGTTGGTTATATGCTTGATTTATCTGATTTACAATCAATAAAATCATGTGTTGAAGAATTTATGAAAAATGAAGATCCGTATGTATTTTATTTTCATTTATATATATATATATATTTCTTTTTTTTCTTCTCTTATCTTTTCATTAATATATAGAAATAGAATGATAACAGCTTTAATTAATAATGCTGGTGTTATGGCTTGCCCTTATTCGAAAACTAAAGATGGATTTGAATTACAAATGGGCACTAATCATTTTGGTCATTTCTATTTTACGAAACTTCTTTTATCACGTCTTTATTCATCACGTATTGTTAATGTTTCTTCTTTGGGTCATGCCTTATGGCGAGTACCTTGTGATATAGCGCATTATACTCAAATGTGTAATCCAAATACTTATAATCGATGGTCAGCTTATTCATTGAGTAAATCAGCAAATATTTTATTTACTCGTGAACTTCAACGACGTTATTCCACATCACATAAAATACGTTCTTATTCATTACATCCTGGTGGTGTCAATACACAATTAGATCGACATATAAGTGCTAGTAATATTATACGTAATTTAGCAAAACCAATACGATATTTGTTATTTAAAACACCATTAGAAGGAGCACAAACAAATCTTTATTGTGCATTATCAGATGATGCTAAACCAGGTGCATATCATGCTGATTGTCAACCAATGCCAGTAGCTAATAAATATGTAGAAGATGATGAAATAGCTCGTGAATGGTGGGATTATTCTGAGAACGTTATTAATGAAAAACTTAAGGATATTGAAAACAAATAAACGATTTTAAGAATGTTGGCACGTTTTTTCTATCATTTTTTAAATAAATCATATTCAAATACATGTTTGTAATTACTTGACTAGTTTTCAGTTGCTAAAAAAAATGCAGTCGAAGTTAATGTAGAATTTTTAATTTGCTATAACAACAGTAAGAATAAACATCAATCATTTATCATTCTCATTTCTTTAGTAATATATAATGTTTTTTTACGAGTGTTCCCGGAAGCTTGGTTAAATGTCAGTACAAGAGATATTTCACGAACGCACGTGACAATGTCCATATAGGGAATCACACTTGGTATGAGTACCACGGGCAGACAACAATCTCCACATCCTGTATCTTATATACTAGTACTTAATCGAGTTGCCGAAGAAATTCCGAAAAAAACATCTAATCTTAAATGAAGAATAAAATTTATTATCCATTGTTTTATTGATAGAGTTCATTATAATATCAAACGAAAAAACAATCTTTATTTCTAACTAGTAGATTTCGACGATAATTACGCAATCCAGTTTATCTTAAATAGTAGTGTAACCTCCATCCGCTGTTAAATTAGCACCAGTAATAAATGGACATAAATCCGAAGCAAGAAAAACAACCATATTTGCTATTTCTTGTGGTGTGCCTATACGCTTTATACATTGAGTTTCTGCTCGATTTTGAACAAACTGTTCCATTGTTAAATTTCTCGAAGCTGCCAATTGAAGAATTGGTGGTGTTTCTATAACATAACCGGCACATATATAGAGTGGCGAACAAAGATTTAGAGCAGTTGTTTTTTTTAAGTTTTTTTCTTGATGGTAATGGCTAGTAATTTTCTAAAACAAACATCTATGTAGCTGAAAGAATTTTCTATTAGGATTGGTACATCATGAGATTTTAGCAATACTGCTTGGATGAGGGTCTGTGAAAAACCAAGATCTGAAAATCAGCTTTCTGACTTCTATTCGAATCTTTTGAAAAAATATTTTATTCGATAGAACAAATGATTCTGAGATCAATTCTCGGAAAGTCTCAAAATGTCCAACATGGCATAAACATTGAAATTTTCAATAAAAACAAGACCAAATACTTCTTGAATCTTCAGTCAATGAAATGCAGTTCGATGAAGATGGATCATAGAGAAATCGGAGATGTGCTGTTTTGTTCAGAATCATTTGTTCTCTTAAACGAAATATTTTCCGAAAAGATTCGAATAGAATCCAGAAAGCTGGTTTTCAGGATCTTGCTTTTTTGCAGACTCTCATCCAAATAGTTTTGCTGAAGTCTTCGGATGTGCCAACCCTGATCGAGAATCATTTCAGCTACACAAATGTTTTTTTTTTTAATTATTGCTAGCTATTGCCGTCGAGAAGAAAACTGAAACATGCAACTTCTCTAAATTTATGTCTGCCATTATACTTATTATATGTGAAATCAAAAAATAATAGTTCATAGTAAAACGTACCGATACAGCCAGGAGAAATAGAATTGCATCGAATATTATATGGACCCAAATCAAGTGCTAAATTTCGTGTCATTTGTATTACAGCTGCTTTCGTAGTATTATATGGTACAAAGGCGGATTGAGCAATTAAACCACTTATACTACCAAATTGAATGATAGAACCTGAACGTTGTTGTTTGAGTAAAGATACAATATGTTTTACCATCAATGCATAACCACGAACATTTACATTGAAAATGTGTGACCAAGCATCAGCTGAAACATTTTCAATTAAACCCAGAGTAAAATCAGCTGCACTAAAAATAAACAAAAGACAAAGCAAACAAAAATTTATATGATTCATATTCTGTTCTGATTTTTCTTAGATTAAATATATATATACGAACGCATTGACGAGTACATGAATTGTACCCCATTTATCAACTACTTTTTTTACAGCTTGTTCAATTGCTTGCTCATCAACTGTATCAAGTTCTACGCTCATAATTCGATCCGATTCTCCATTTTGATTGCCAAGAATGTCGGCCACTACTTTATTGGCAGCTGCCTTATTAATATCAGATACTACTACTCGAGCACCATGTAAAGCACATGTGTGAGAAATAGCAGAACCAATACCTCCACCCGCACCCGTTATAAACACCACTTTATCTAGTAAAACCTGAGACCAGCTTTCGTTTAGTTTTACTGTTGTCATTTTAGAGAGTGAAGAAATAGGTTATGATAAATAATCGAACAATATGAATAGATAAGAAAGATAACTCTATTTGTTAATTTATTCTTTTATATTCAAGGAGATAAATGCACTATCGAGGCACAAGATTTTTATGTTAACTGCTGAAATGTTGATTAAACTTGTAACAGTTTAGGCTAAAAAGTTTAGATTAGTTGTGCCAATGTCTTGTTGAAGTAGTTTTTTTGATAGAAACTGAACTATTGCGATAGATTATTTGAAAAAAAAAACTAATTTGATCAAACAGTTCTCTCATATATGAAGCTTTGACGAATTCATTATGGTACATAACAGTTTCAAAAGAAACACTGAAAAAGTAATCATAGAAATATACTATTGGGTTTTTCAATATTTTAATAGAGAATAAATAACAGCATATCCTAGCTTTTTTGTCAAATTATTTTGGCTATTGTAGTGATACTTCAGAGATGAATTTCACAAGTGATTTATTTAATCGGTATTATATTTAATGTATATCAGTGATATTGATTGAAAATCATGCGCAATGTATTGGAATTAGCAGTTGACTCTGCTTCCAGAACAAGAATTATTTATCGTCGTTAGACATAGACGGAAAAACTGAACACCGATACGAACACAGGTCCTGTTGCCAACCAAACTGTTTCACTTATGATAATTAGGCATGGTTCTGGCATAGATTTGCGACAATATTTTAGTCATTTTATTCAAAATTTCATTGTATGTTTCAAAAAGCGAGTTTTGCAAACTTTTTCACTCTTAATTCTTAGTGGATGGCATCATGATGTATTCTTCCTGTGTCTAACAATTACAAATAATCTTTGTATCAATAAGTATATTCAGTTTTTCATGTCATTAAGCATACTTCTGATCAAATATTATTGTTATATGAAAAAAGAAACAGTATAAATGAAAACATCTTTGCCTTGTAAGGCATCCTAGAATAATCAATGCTACATACCCACAAATTGACCTATATGGATTCTTTTTAAATTCAAAGAAAAGAATGACACTCGATTTTTATTTGAAATGGAAGTCTACGAGAGAAACGAAAAATGAGCATTCATTTTTTTTATTTAATAGTGGGATTTGTTCGAATCAGATGGTTCTATTTCTACTAGCTCTACGTTTCCCAAAATAGAGTAAAACGACAGAAAAAGACACTCAAAGTGATAGAGCCACCACATATAACTGAAAGTGAAAAGTATTGTTCTCCTTGATCACTGACGAAGAAATTTCTTCAAATGATAAAAGGCTTTTTGAGAATAGGCAAAATCTAATATGATTCGTTCCTTTGTCGGTTTCCTATTGATTAGTGACAATTTTCTTGGGAATTTGTAGGGTATGTCATAAAAATTCCAACGTCACCATTTCGACCTAAAACTTTGCTCATGAAAGGATTTTATTATATTGACCATAGATCGCAAGCTTCATCGAGAATATTTGTTATTGCAGTAAGAAAACATTAGTTTTCAGTGAAAATTTCTATATATGATCAGCGAAATTTGAGATCAGAACGGCGATATTGGATTTTTTATGACATATTCTAAACTAGATTAGAAACTGAAAAAAATTGTCACCAGTCGAAAAGACAATAACAAAGAAACAAATCATTATAGGCTTAGCTTACTGTCACTGGGCTCTATCTAATGGCATAAGTCACGTCTCAAAAGCTTTTTATTATCTGAAAAGATTTTCTGATGAATTTAGCTTCAGTTTCAACAATTGACAAATCATTTAGTCACTAGACGCAACGGAGAAAAATGAGCTGATGTATGTAACAGTTGTGGATCTTGTAAACCTGACAGCTTACGTCCTATATACAGATAGATACTTATAATAGCTAGAGATTCTGTAAGCATCATTCTACTAGAAAGGGCATATGACTAGTTATAACACACGATGTCTTGTTGAAAATTTGATTTAACTATAAAAAAGAATCATATAGTTCTCTTACGATTATTGAGATGTCAAGAGTTAGCATTGGTGACTTAAATATTAGTTATATTCTATCTTTTATTAATACTAACAGTGAAGTGAAGCTACTGTAGTTTTTCGTTTATTGATTGGGGTTCCAAGAAAACGACTCATGCGCAATTTTTGGTAAGATATTTAGCAGCTATCAAAACGTTCCAAGTACCATGTTTAGGTTGTTCCAAAACTTCAAATGCCATGCACAGATAATCCTTGAAAAGTCAGATCTAATGTTCCTAGGCAGCCTCCCAAAATTATAGGTTTAGTGTTCAAATGGTTCACAAACAGTTACAGATATTATATTGAGATACTCTCTAACATCATAGATAATGTATTCCGAAAGTCCTCAAAAAAGTTACAGATAGCATATTATAATATTCTGTTCAATACTACTCAAAAAGTTTTAGATAACTATACCCAAAAGATCCCTATGAGTCACATATAATATATTCAAACACATTCCTTAAAGTTATGAGTAGTTGTCCACATTAATTTCAAAAAAATTAAGTCAACAGGTCAATTAGTTTAATGTTTAATTGATAAAAGTTAGAACAAACCAGTTCTTATCAAATCAACTATTAAACTCTCAATTGAGGCAAAAGATCTGATGTTTTAAGAATGGGCGTGTAAATGTTTGTATTCTTGTTCTCACATTTTTTTTTCTTTTATTTTTCGAAAAAAACACAGATATGTACCATTTATTGATTTCAACAAGTAATCTTTGTTTACTTTTTCTTTACTTTAAAAGAGCAGTTGCTTGTTGTTTTTCAACATTCGGTATACATACAAAAATCAAAGAGTCAAAATAAAAATCAACCATCAACTACACTGAGATTATTATACATTTTCTTGGAAAGAACCAT